CTTACTGAAAATTTTTACTAAATAATTTCAAGAAGAAAAATATAATTTTTAATGTAATTTGTCTTGTGTCTCATATTCCAAAAGTTGGAACTTCCAAAAGTTCCAACTTTTGGAATATGAGACACAAGACAAATTACTTTTCTAGCTTATTTAAATTAACTTTTTTTTTCTTTCTTACAAACAGTAAAGAATATTTTTTCTATAAAATATTTTTTCTAATGCAAAATTTTGATCGAAAGGAAAAAAAATTGTTAAATGTAGAATTTCATTTTGAAATTATAGCATTTTATTTAAATGCAGAATAAGGGTAATTAAAAGTCGATTTTCACCGGTTATTTGAAATTTATAGGCAGGCGGTACATTAGAGATGGTTCAGCGAGTATGGTCAGCGGTGGACACGACATTGGACATTTTATAGGATCGTTAGAGCGTCTGAGACGTATTTATGTCCGGAAACTCGAAGTTAAGCTGTCCTTAGACATTTTAAATGATCCCAAAATGTCGCTAAAAGAGATATTCTGTATATGATGAAAAAAATAAAATTTATATTAAGATTTCAACATCCTTGAAATATTCAATATTTCAACACAATTTTAAATATTTAAACAACTAAATATTATTCTTCATTTGCAAGAGTTAAAAATTATCCACTTCATCAAGGAAATTATTTTTCAAAGTAGAATTTTCGAAAAAAATGGAAAAATTTTTTTCGATTTAAAAAATTTTTCAATTTTAGTAGAATAAGAGAAAAAATGTTTTTTTATTGATCTAATCACCAGCAGTAAGTTTCAGTATGAAAGCTTCTAGAAAAGAAAAAAGTATTATTGATTTTTTATTCAACTTCGTTTCTCAGGGCCTTCAGGAACGTTGATTACGAATTCGATGTCAGTTTTTCAAAATACAAAATGGCGGATCCAATATGGCGGATAATTTTTTTAAAAAATCGATTCAATTTGCCAGAAACTCGCTACTCGGGGGTTTTTGGGGTCGCTGATTACGAATCAAGTACGTAAAAGACAGTTTTCTTTAAAAAATGGTCCGCAATCCTTTGAAAGAATTCAACTATCTTAAAAAATATCAAGATTATTTCCAGAAATTCAATTACTTTCAAAAATTTGAAAAAAAAAAATTCTCGTCAACATTTCAATTATTTTTTGTAAATAGTAAAATTCTTCCCCAAAATTCAATTATATTCAGGAATTTTAATAAAATTTAATGTAAAATTAAATAATTTTCACAAATATTCATTCACAAGAATTTAATTACTTTTAAAATTAATAAAAGTCTTGGCAGAAATTCGATAATTTAATATCTAAAAAAAAATTGTCGTCAAAATTTCAATTATTTCTATTAATGAATAGCAAAATTCAAGTATTTTTATTAATGAATAGCAAAATATAATTATTTTAAGAAATAATAAAATTCGAAATTCAATTATTTACAAACATTTTAATAAAATTCTTGGCAAAATTTCAATTATTTAAAAAAATTTTAATAAAATTCTACGCAAACATTTAATTTTTTCATAAAATAATAAAAATTTTAAAGGAATTCAATTATTTTAAAACATTTTAATAAAATTCTTGTCAAAATTTCAATTATTTAAAAAAATTTTAATAAAATTCTACGCAAACATTTAATTTTTTCATAAAATAATAAAAATTTCAAAGGAATTCCATTATTTTCAAACATTTTAATAAAATTCTTGGCAAAATTTCAATTATTTAAAAAAATTTTGATAAAATTCTACGCAAACATTTAATTTTTTCATAAAATAATAAAAATTTTAAAGGAATTCAATTATTTTAAAACATTTTAATAAAATTCTTGGCAAAATTTCAATTATTTAAAAAAATTTTGATAAAATTCTACGCAAACATTTAATTTTTTATAAATTTTTTATAAATTTCTTCTAAATAATTTAATTATTTTATTAAAATTCGTCGAAGGAATTCAATTATTTAAAAAATTTTTTTGATAAAATAATTTATGATTAATTCAATTTCTAGAAACATTTAATAATTCAATAAATTATTTTTTATTTAAATAATTGAATTCTAGTAGAATTTTCAAATAAAAATAGATTTAAAAAAGGAATTTTAATTCCAATTTTAGATTATAATTGAATATTTAAAGCATTCAAAATTCAATATTTTTAGAAATATGTAATTGAATTTTGAAAAGGATTTATATTAAAAGAATTTTAAAATTCTCAAAGAACTTTTTTAAAAATTATTAAAAATAATGTATTGATAGAAGAATTTTAGTTAAAAACACTTAAAAATTTAATTTTGGAAAAATAACAAATTATTATTTTATAAAATAATGAATATTTTACAGGAATTCAAATATTAAAACTATAATTGACATAAATTTTTTCGAAAAAAATCAATTGTTTAAACTTTTTCAATAAAATTTTTCGCAATAATTCAATTATTTTCACAAATAAATAAATAATAAAATTCATCGCAGAATTTCAATTATTTTAAATACAATTTTAATCGAATTTCTAGAAAAATATAATTATTTTTAAAAATTTTATTAAAATACGTCAAAAGAATTCAATTATTTAAAAAAATTTTCTAAATTTCTTCGCAATAATTCAATTATTTTCATAAATAATAAAATTTTTACAGGGATTCAATTATTTTCGTAAATAATAAAATTCTTTTCAGGAATTCAATTATTTTTATAAATAATAAAACTCAATGCAGAATTTCAATTATTTTTAATACAATTTTAATCAAATTGCAAAAAAATGTAATTATTCTTAAAAATTTTATTAAAATTTGTCGTAAGTATTCAATTATTTAAAAATTTGTGGATAAAATTCTTTATAAAAATTCAATTTTTAGAAACATCCAATCATTCAATAATTAATTTATTCTTGTATTTAAATAATTGAATCCTAGGAGAATTTTTTAATACAACTTATTTAAAAATTAGTTTCAGTTAAAATTTTAGATTATAATTGAATATTTAAAACAATATATATTTTTTTTGACATTATTTATAGTTTTTATTATCTAATATATATTTAATTGAAGAAGAATTTACGAATAATTGAAATTTCATAAAAGTGAATATTGTAAACAAATGAATTTGAAAATTGTCAAAGAATTTTTTCGAAAATTATTAAAAATAATTGATTTAAAGAAGAATTTTAGTTAAATACTCTTGAAAATAATAATTTAATTGAAATGATGAAAATAATTTTGAAGATGTTAGAGTAACATTATTCTTACAATATAAAATAATAATTTTATCACTCGGTCATCTTTAATTATTATTATAAAACAGGAAGAAATCAATTACTCCGAGTCGAAGGCTCGGAGTAATCGATATCTTCATGTTTTATAATCATAAAAATTTAATTTATAGTTTGAATTAAAATGTTCTTATATTTGATTTGGACTGGTTATATTTTTGTCAGTAATTGATCCGTAATTTTTAATTTTTGGTCCTTAAAGTCCGTATTTTGAAATACTTTTACTGGTTTGGGTCCTGTTTTATTTCTAAAAAATTCGTCCGCCATATTGGATCCGCCATTTTGAATTTTGAAAATCTGACGTCAGATTCGTTAATCAGTGACTCAAAAATCTCCCTAGATGCCAAATTTGATTAAAAATTAATATTCTTTAAATTCCATTAAGAATTTAATGCTAATTTTACTGCAATTTTATCTAATTTTATTTGCAAAAACAGAAATAATTTATCAATTATTGAAATATTGAAGTATTGAAATTAATTTCAAAATTAGATTCATCCTCGAGAATTAAGGTGAAATTTTCGTTGTCTAGATCCTATTAGTGGGAAATAAAGTTCATTTTCCAATTCTCAATGTTCTTTACTGTACAAAAGTGAAGCTTAACTTAACGACCTCGTTAGTGTCAAAGGTACTTGGGTAACGTTCGATGAATTTATCCGACGTCAAATAAATAGACGTAGTAACGGCACCCGAAGCTTTTACTTACAGGAGTACTATTAGAATGTCAAGCACGAAAAGATTAAGATGAACCGTTTCTTGATAATTCCTTCAACAAGACCTTTAATTTTACTCCTCCAAAAAAAAGGAGAGATGAGAAAATACCGAATTGGGTAATTGGCACTAATTGAATTTGACTTAAAGAACTTTCCAATCTATTTTCTAAGACTCCATCTCTCTCTCTCTCTCTATTTTATTTCTGATTGAAGAACAAGGTGATAAAAACGACCGCCTTTGCAGTTTCACTCGAATTGGATTGAGTAATATACTGGACCCGCTGTACTTTGTCGAATGCGCCATGTTAGTCTTTGCTGACGTGTTCGACACGAAAAGGGACTTTCCTTCTCACTGAAAACTTTTGTGAAGCCTTAAAAAAAAATCCCTTCTTTAAGTAACAAATTGGAAACAGAATTGATCCAATGTTAACAGATCTTACGATTCGTTTCGTTTAAAATTGGATTAAATTCTCTAAATCTAATTAGATTAGAGGCAAAATTATTAAATTGATTTTTAAACCGTTTTCCGCCATATTGGATCCGTTATTTTGAATTTTAAAAACAAATCACTTTTGACTTTTTTAAAAACGAGGAAGTTTTTTGAAAATAATAGGTTACAATTTGTTTAAATTATAAGTAACAAGTTCCAAGTTTTTTGTTTACTTGAATAATAATAAAATGTTAATAAAAATTTTATCTATAAATTAATCACTATTTTTTCGCCTTAACTTAAATTTATAAAATGAAAGGAAGTCATGTTTATATTATGAAAAATTTTTCGAGAAGCGTTCAAAAAAGAGAAACGGCACGTGCATCAAATTTTATCACGTGAGTAATATGCAGAGATATATTTGTTATAAAGACTTTTAGAATTAAGAGGTAAGAAATAATTTGCATTGCTTTATAAATGTTTATAGTTATGAAATATGATGATATTAATAATACTTTTTTTTTAACAATAAATTATATTATCAACGAAAAATTTAAGAAAAATATTTTATAATTATGTGTGATAAAGTGTATATAAAGTTTCGTGTACTTAACAAAGCTTTAGTATAATTTAAAATTTTGTAACGTAATTAAATTTTTAAGTCTTTAAACAAATATGTTTGGTAAAATTATTATTTTATTGTCCGTCTTAATAGTTGTTCAAAGTGCGACTATAAAAGGTATACGAGTATTTTTATTATTAACTTGCGATAAGTAAAACACAAATATTAAATAATTAGGCAAAATATTTTTTTACCCTTTTTTATAAAATTTAGATTACAGAATTTAAAATACTTTTAATTTTATTTATTAATTTATTACAGATGGAAAAAGTTCTGAAGTGGAAAAATCGGTCAGTAATTTGGAGAAAAGGAGTATAGAGGACTGTCAAAATAATCTAGTGACAAAAGTGAAGAATTTTTTTCACTGTTTAGGCACTGGTGTAAAAGATGCATTAACAAGAGTATGCAAATGGATAAAAGGTATCGTAAAGTTTATTTAATTTTTCCTTTTCATAAGAATGAAGAGTGTTGTACTTTTAAAAAGGAATAACATTTTTTTTGTAACTTTACTCAGAGTGGTAGTTAATGTAAATATTTTGTATTAAAATTTTCATTTATTATATTATATTAGTAGATTACTGATAAAATCATTTTCATATTTAAAAAAAAAATATTGTCACTAGTAAAATATTTTAATTTTTTAAAGAAAAATGTTCAAAGCGGACACAAGCAGACACAAACAGTACAGAAGAAACGGCTGAACCTAAAGATGACACTGACGGCAATTCTAAAGGTTCTAAATCTGTAAAAGCTACACCACGCAAACCATCGAATGGAAATACTGGTCAGACGGTCAGTAGTACTGAACCCTCGTCAAATGGTAAGTGATTTTTATTTTATGATCTAAATATTATCTTATTTGTCTATACGCGAGTAATTGTTGTTATTCTTTAATCAGAAGAAACGTCTAGTTCAGAAGATAGTTCCGAAGAGGAGTCAAAATCAAAAACTGGAAAACCGTCAAAAAATGTCTCTACTTCTAGTCCTGTTAATGAACAAAAAACAGAACATTCACCAGACGGTCCAACAGAATCATCTAAAGCTGCAGATGCTTCAACTGATGTTTCTACTGCTAGTACAGAGCCAGAAGCTGGTACAGACAAGTCAACTGTTGGTTCACCTGAATCATCAAAAACGACATCTGCTATTCCTGATACTAGTACTGGAGCAGAAGCTGAAACAGAAAAGCCAACTGAATCATCAACTGGGGCAGAAGCTGATACAGAAAAGCCAACTGAATCATCAACTAGAACAGAAGCTGATACTGAAAAGCCAACTGAATCATCAACTGATGCAAAAGCTGATACAGAAAAGCCAACTGAATCATTAACTGATTCAAAAGCTGATACAGAAAAGCCAACTGAATCATCAACTGAAGCAAAAGCTGATACAGAAAAGCCAACTGAATCATTAACTGATTCAAAAGCTGATACTGAAAAGCCAACTGAATCATCAAGTGCATCATCAACTGGGGCAAAATCTGATACAGAAAAGCCAACTGAATCATCAGCTGCGACATCTGCTATTCCTGATACTAGTACTGGGGCAGAAGCTAATACAGAAAACCCAACTGAATCATCAACTAGAACAGAAGCTGATACTGAAAAGCCAACTGAATCATCAACTGATGCAAAAGCTGATACAGAAAAGCCAACTGAATCATTAACTGATTCAAAAGCTGATACAGAAAAGCCAACTGAATCATCAACTGAAGCAAAAGCTGATACAGAAAAGCCAACTGAATCATTAACTGATTCAAAAGCTGATACAGAAAAGCCAACTGAATCATCAACTAGAACAGAAGCTGATACTGAAAAGCCAACTGAATCATCAAATGAATCATCAACTGGGGCAAAAGCTGATACAGAAAAGCCAACTGAATCATCAGCTGCGACATCTGCTATTCCTGATACTAGTACTGGGGCAGAAGCTAATACAGAAAACCCAACTGAATCATCAACTAGAACAGAAGCTGATACTGAAAAGCCAACTGAATCATCAACTGATGCAAAAGCTGATACAGAAAAGCCAACTGAATCATTAACTGATTCAAAAGCTGATACAGAAAAGCCAACTGAATCATCAACTGAAGCAAAAGCTGATACAGAAAAGCCAACTGAATCATTAACTGATTCAAAAGCTGATACAGAAAAGCCAACTGAATCATCAACTAGAACAGAAGCTGATACTGAAAAGCCAACTGAATCATCAAATGAATCATCAACTGGGGCAAAAGCTGATACAGAAAAGCCAACTGAATCATCAAGTGCATCTGCTATTCCTGATACTAGTACTGGGCCAGAAGCTAATACAGAAAAGCCAACTGAATCATCAAGTGGGACAGAAGCTGAAACAGAAACGCAAACTGAATCATCAACTGGTGCAAAAGCTGATACAGAAAAGCCAACTGAATCATTAACTGGAGAAGAAGCTGATACAGAAAAGCCAACTGAATCATCAAGTGGGACAGAAGCTGATACAGAAAAGCCAACTGAATCATCAACTGATGCAAAAGCTGATACAGAAAAGACAACTGAATCATTAACTGATTCAAAAGCTGGTACAGAAAAGCCAACTGAATCATCAACTGATGCAAAAGCTGATACAGAAAAGCCAACTGAATCATTAACTGATTCAAAAGCTGATACAGAAAAGCCAACTGAATCATCAACTGATGCAAAAGCTGATACAGAAAAGCCAACTGAATCATCAAGTGGGACAGAAGCTGAAACAGAAACGCAAACTGAATCATCAACTGGTGCAAAAGCTGATACAGAAAAGCCAACTGAATCATTAACTGGAGAAGAAGCTGATACAGAAAAGCCAACTGAATCATTAACTGATTCAAAAGCTGATACAGAAAAGCCAACTGAATCATCAACTGATGCAAAAGCTGATACAGAAAAGCCAACTGAATCATTAACTGGGGAAGAAGCTGATACAGAAAAACCAACTGAATTATCAACTGGCATACTTCCAAATGCAGGTAACGTTACAGAGTTAATGGATTTTTCAGCAGATGATATAAATGTTTAGTAATTACTAAGCATTTTGGATTTTCGCAAATTTAGATGTTAGTCTCTCTCTTTGTGTTATAGTAATATAATGTTTTTCTAAAACTTTTTAAATTTTTACTGACTTTTGTTGCTTTTTTTCTTAAGAGTACTTTCTGGTGCAGAATTGATAAAAAATAAACACTTTTTCATGATCTTATTGAAAAAAATGTAATATAGTTATTGCAAAAATTCCTTTTGGATAGTGTTATATATTACAAGAAGAGAGTTCAAAAAATTTTTTTAAGTATTTTTAGTTCATTTTTGCAATTGTAGCTGGCGACTTCCAAAAGGTGACTTTTCTTCATGGAGACAGTTTCCGGTCAATCTCTTTTACATAAATTAAAAATTCAAACGGAATTCTCTGCATAAAGATTTTTTCTAGACAACAAACCTTAACATCAATTTCAAAAAAAAAAAAAATTTACAATTTTTAAAGAAATTTTTTGCAAAATGTCGAGAAAATGGTATGTGTTTGAGTCAATTTACCCCACTGTATAAAATAACAGACGGCAAAAATGTTGAATTTTAGAGGTTTGTTGCCTAGTTTTTTACATAATGAATCGAATAGTTTTTGGTAATTTCAAATCGGTTTAGGAATTCCAAGAAAAAAATTCCGTTTTCAAAAATGAGTTTTCTAGAAAAACGCGTTGTAAGTTTTCCTACTGTATTACAGTGAGTTAAGAAACGATCATAAAAATTGTTATAACTTTTTTTTAACATTTTTTTTTTCAAAAATGGTTTGGGACTGTAATTTTATGGCACTAAGGAATATTTTCAAGTATAAAGAAAGAAAAATTGATTTTTTTAAAAATTCTTTACCAGAAAGTCTCCTTAGAATCTAATTATTGGTATCATTTAGGCATAGCATGTATAACACAGGAGTACAAAATTTTTTTAAAAAGGAAATATTGACCGGGACATGTTTTTTGAGTCGCTGAATTCGAATCCGAAATTAGTTTTTCTGTTTCTATGAAAGAAACAATTTTAACACAATGAAAAAATACTATATAATGTTAAGAAATCAAGGAAACTCGTAAATATTCAAAATTTAAGATGTCGGATCAAATATGACGTCGATTTTTTAAAAATTCAATCAATTCGCCTGAAACTTGTGACTCGGGGGTTTTTGGCGTTGCTGAATATGAATTTCATCTTACTTTTCAAAATTTCAAAATGGCGGATCCAATATGGCGTCGATTTTTTAAAAATTCAATCAATTCGCCTGAAACTTGTTACTCGGGGGTTTTTGGGGTTGCTGAATACGAATTTCACCTTAGTTTTCAAAAATTCAAAATGGCGGATCCAATATGGCTGACGAATTTTTTAAAAATTTAACACTTTTACTTAAAACTTGTTACTCGGGGGTGTTTGGGGACGCTGAATACGAATTTCACGTTAGTTTTCAAAAATTCAAAATGGCGGATCCAATATGGCTGACAAACTTTTTAAAAATTTATCAGTTTTACTTGAAACTTGTTACTCGGGGGTTATAGTTTATAGTGTAGTATATAGTTTGGTGTCAATAAATACAAATTTAAATACAGAAATGTTCAAGTCCTGCTTAATTTGATTAGTTTCTTTAAAACAGCACCCTATGGGATAGAAAAAAATATTGCTTTTAATTTTTGTTTATAACTTATTAATTCTAAACGTAATTTTTGTTTTAGCTTCATTGGTAACTAAGACATTAAATGATACAATAAAAGCCGTTAACCAGAGTTTAAGTGTTGATGACACTACTGCTAAAATGAACGAAGGTAATTCTAAAACTGATAAATATTATTTGTATTCTAATTTTAATTCCTCGCAATCGTTCGAGTTACAAAAGTAATATCCTTATTTCACTTTCAGTTATTTATAGTTTTTTTTATTAATGCCTTTAATTTTGAAAAGTGCAATATCTTCATTATAACTGTGATTTTTTTTTAAGTAAGAAATTACACAAGTGCTGTAGAATTTTAGTTTGTTATTGTCTTATTATGTTTCAAAGAAAAATATATTTTTTCAGGTTCTTCGTCTACTGAAGTCCCAGTTCCTACTGAAGATCAAAAAAAGTCTAAGTAAAAAGTTTGTTCTACAAGTTCTACTATAGTGTTATAATGGTGTAATCTAAAACTAATATTTTCGCTTAAGGATTTTAGACGATATTCACAAATTGTAAAGTAAGAATAAGTGATTGAAATATTTAAATCTATTCATTAATTTATTAAACGATGTGTATAACTTCTAGAAACAATATTACAATTGTATTTTGCTTTTCTAGTTTCTTGTTAATTTAATTTCGAATCCACTTTTGTACATTTCGTTAAAATTCTATATTTTTAAGCCTCACAATTGTAGCTTAATGAATATTTTTAAAAAAATCGTGCTTAAAATAAATGTTTCAATCTGTAATTTGTATCTTCTATTGACAATTGTTGAAAAAACAGAAAATGGTTTTCCACAAATAAAATCCTTATAAAAAGGGGTTTAATTTAAATTTTGTTATTTTATTCAAAAGTACACAATTGTTGAATATTTTTAATAGAATTGTATAAATCGTTTATTTTTCGGATAATATGGTTAATTTTCTAATTTCTCTAAATTTTTGTAACTATATCGTAATAGGATTAAATTTGTCGGAACGATGTTGTACAATTTAAAATTCACATGTCGTTTAGCAGAGAAGTGAAGAGTTAGGGGGCCAAAAGAGAAATTGCATAAAGTGAGAGATAAAAGAAGGGTCAATCGTGAAAAAAAAGTGTACTCGTTGCTTCGTTACGATTGTAGTTACGGTTTAGAATTGGGATGTTAGCCATTGGCAAGCTGTTACATGATGAACGAACTGTACCAGCCGATACTGACATTTCAGCCATGTAATTGCCTTGTAGTTTCGTGTTTCCATTATTTTATTCATGATCGTAAAAATTAGTGTTAAGGGTAGATAAAATACTGAAACAACATTTTGGCTTAACTGTCGAGCATTTTATAAAAATCCACTTTTAACTTTTTTATTATCTTACGGTAAAATTGTTTTATTATCTTAAAAAATAAAAATGCAATCAAAACAAAAACAATGGTTTCGTGGTGCAATTCTTTTATTAAGAATCGAGTAGATATGTTGTAACCCTTTCCATTTTTTTACTGCACTTTATGCGACTATTAATACGAATCTGAATATTTTTGAATTTTTAGAAAATAAAGGAAAAAATTTTACTCAAAAAAAAAAAATGTTCTGTTACATTTTATTTACGAATTTATTTAATTGTAAAATTAATGAAAAAGATCAATAACTTCATTTTTAAATAAATATTTATTTATTATTATTTTTCCATAAAAATTAAGATTATCAATACCTTCAAATCCAAATCTCTTTGAAATTATTAATTTCTAGAAATTTTAACTAAAATTCTTCTCTAAATCAATTATTTTTAATAATTTTTCAAAAAGTTCTTTGACATGAATTTTTAAATCCATTTCTTTATAATTCAATTTTTCGAAATTTCGATTATTCGGAAATTCTTCAATAAAATATATATTAGAAAACAAAAGCTTGAAATAATTTTTAAAAGAAATTCAATTAAAATTTATCGAAAAAAATTAATTCTACAGAATTGTGAAAAATTCAGATTTTCAAAGATTTGAATTTAAAAACTTTTTAAAATTCAATAATTGTTTCTAAAAATTTAAGCAGCTATGCTTCTAATATTCAATTATAATTTAAAATTTTACCTGAAATTCATTTTTAAAATAAATTTTTATTAAAAAATTCTACGAGAATTCATCTATTTAAAAACATAAATAAATAATTTATTGAAAAATTAAATGTTTCTTAAAATTGAATTCGCATAAAGTATTTTTAAGAATAATTACATTTTTCCAGGAATTTGATTAAAATTGTAATAAAAATAATTTAAATACTGGAAAGGGTTTTATTATTTATGAAAATAATTAAATTATTTGCTAAGAAATTTATAAAAAATTTGTAACTAATTATTGAATTCCTGTGGAATTTTTATTATTTGTGAAAATAATTTAATGTTTGCGTAGAATTTTATAGAATTTTTTTTAAATTCTAATTTAAAAAAAAAATAATTAAACTTTTTCAAAAAAATTTATTCTACACAATTTTTAGTTTAAAGTATGAAAAATTCAAATTTTTAAAGATTTCAATTTAAAACTTTTTCAAAATTCAATTATATTTCTACAAATTCACGCTGTAATGCTTTTAATATTCAATTATAAAATAAAATTTTACCTAAAATTAATTTTTTAAACAAATTTTCATTAAAACATTCTACGAGAATTCAATTATTTAAATACAAAAATAAGTAATAATTTATTGAATAATTGAATGTTTCTTAAAATTGAATTCGCATAAAGTATTTTATGAACAAATTTTTAAATAACTGAATTCTTTTGACGAATTTCAATAAAATTGTTAAGGATAATTAAACTTTTCGAGGAATTCGATTAAAATTGTATTAAAATAATTGAAATTCTGCTATGATTTTTATTATTTATGAAAATAATTGAATTATTGAGAATAAATTTTTAAAAAATTACTTATTTGAATTTCTGTCTTATTATTTTTGAAAATAATTAAATGTTTACGAAGAATTGTATCAAACATTTTTTTAAATAATTGAATTCTTGTAATAAACTTTATTAAAACATTAGATATATTAAAAATCATTGAATTCAGGATTTTGAAAATAATTGAAATTTTGACAAGAATTTTATTAAAATTTTTGAAAATAATTGAATTTTAGAGAAAAATTTTATTATTTATGAAATTTTGATGAGAATTTAAAACAAATTTTGAACTTAATTGAATTTTTGCGAAGAATTTGATTACTTTTAAAAATAATTGAATTTCTGCAATCATTTGTAACTTCTCCAAAATTCAATTTTTTTTTAGTGTTTTTAACTAAAATTTTTTCTATAAATCCATTGTTTATAATAATTAATTAAATGTTTATTAAAAAATTCAAACAATATCAGAGGAATTTGAATGTTTAAAATTTTTTAGAAATCTTAGTTCTTTTTTCAAAAATAAATTCACTAAAAATGAAATTTGTAAACGTAATAAATTCTATTAAAATTCAATTAATTTTGAAATAATTAATTTAAAACAAAGACGATAGGTAAAAGGTATTTAATAATTTTTTGATTGTTTAGTTTATTAATTTTCATTTCATTTAAAATTTTTGCGTAGTAGTGAATGAATATATTAATAAAAAAAATTGAGTGAATTTATGAATTAAAAATGAACATAAAAATTAACAAATTTCATTATTTTTATTCCAATTTAGTAAATAAAAAGTATTAATATTTTTAATAGTGAATAAAAAATAATTTTTGATATTTAAAATTATAATTCATATTTTTAGAATTTCGATACATTGCAAGATAAAAAATACCGAGGAAAAATTTAATTTTTAATTATCTCATATTAACATTTTTTAATTTTAACCAATTTTTTAACTAATACTGAATCGATATTTTCAGATTCCAATTTTTATTCCGCATTCTAAAAATAACTTATTTTCTATCTTAAATTTTATTTTTCTTCTATTTTTAATACATGACAAGAATAGGACGTCAGAGCGTCAATTTTTTTTTGCTCCTGATTCTATAATTAAAAAAATGATATCAATTTGTAAATTAGGATATAAAACGAAATTTTTTTTTATAATTTTTAGTCTATTTTTAGTTATTATTACCCTATAATGTGTAATACAATTGAAATGAAAATTAAAATATGAATTTAATTTCAAAACGTTTTATTCATAAAATTTCTACAATTGAAAGAATTCGATAATGATATAACCGGTTGGATAAAAGTTAATCACTCCAATAGCAAATTAATGTTTAACGAAATAGATGAACGGGAGTGTAAAATTTGTTCGAAAATTTGCACTATCCAAAAAGTCGATTTGGCGTTAAAAGCTTTCCACATCAAGTCATAAACTCCATACAATGTACGTATTGTGTCGTTAAAAATGTTTTACGCTTTGCTGCCAACGCGACATGGAGAAATCCATTAGGAAATTACACTCCACAAAGCAAAATATAATTTCAAATTTTTGCCTTAAAAAAACTTTTTTTCAGAAATCTTTTCCCACTGTGACATTCAATTGTGATTTAAAAAGTTTCATTGATAGGAAAAAAACAATTTTTTTCGATACAAATAAATTGGAAGTATTAAGAATCCCACCGCTGCCACCATTTGGAGTAATATTTTTTTTTTGTTTAACGAGTCTAAGCGAAGCATTGAAAAATGTTTGAAAAAACAAATTAAATTATTGTTCTTTCGTGAATATTTTAATTTTCTGTTTGTTTTGATTTTTATTATGAAATTTATTAGATATTTCAGAGCTTTTTATTAGATATATATTTTTGGAGCGGAATTTTATAGGAAATGTTTCTATAAAACATTTTAGTGATGCTTACCACCTATTATGTCCTCGAATATTTTCTAAAGCGAAAATTTTTGGAGCACTCTTAATTCTGAGTTGCTCCTTTTTACGTTCGCGTACGAAATATTCCGAAGTTATCCGAGGATTGTGCGATGCGCAAACTCTGCGGCTTCATTCCACATTTAAAGCTGTATATAGAGGAAGAGGAGAGAGAGAGAGAGATAGAGAGAGCGAGCTTTCGAGGTAGTACAGCGGTTCTTGGATCGACAGGTTTCCACGGGCCGTGCCACCGGCAACCTCGATCTCTCGAATTATTATTTTTTGTGGCAAAACATGTGCTTGCAAAAGCTACGCGAACATTCAGTGTGACACTAAATCTCATTTCTCTAAGGATTCATTAAAATTCATCAATTCATCAATTCCAAAAATTTTATGAATTTTTCCTTTCCCATTTCTTTTCATCAAAGGTTTTATTTTTTTTTTATTTTTACAAATTCCGTTAAGTAACAAAAGTGAGTGAAAATTATCTCCTTTATAATACAGTCTTATACAATTTCAACTCTTGTCGTTATTTTTAGAATTCACTAATGAATTTCAATTATTGGAATTAACGAATTCCAAGCAATCGAATTGGTTCAAGGTTTTCTTCTCTATTTGTACAATTAACCTTTCTTAATCGACAGTTCAAATTTCCCTTCAGGAGAAATAAGAAAAAAAATAAATAAACGAAAATAATGATTATTAGAATGAAATCGATGTTTTCTCATTGATGTTTAACAAGAAATTGGGTGTGTCTCACAATTGAGTGGGTGGAAAAAAAAGAGATGTGTTTTCCTTGTTAAACGTGTCGAACAGAGAGTAATAGAAAAACGAAAACAAGAAAAATTTATAATGGGAACACGATAAAATTGAAGAGTGTGTGAGTGAACCACGTGCTTCGAGCGGTATTTTAGAATATTGTTTGTTCGAAAATATTATCAAAAAAAATTTACTAGAATCGAAAGGACGATAACTTTTTTCGCGAAGGATAACAATAAAATAGTGCCCATTGTGATGAAAGGAACCTGCTTAGATCAGGCGAATTGCCAAGCGGACGTAGGAAGTTTTAATCAAGGTTAGTTTAGAAGCTTGACCTAGACCACTATATATATACACATCACACGATAACTCCATAATTCTAAATTCTCACTGAATTGATATCGAAAAATTTTTTTTTTATAATCTTGATCATCAAAAATAATCAAGATTTACAAAAAATGGAAAATTTTTTTTTCTCTTTATCAAAAAAAAAATTTTAACAAGACAACACTTTTATTCTAATGCAACAGAAAAAAAGAACGAAAACATTATTTTCTTATCACGGCGGTATTTCTACCTTGCAGTAAAGTACAACATGTAAAATTTATGACTTTACGTGGGTAATATCCACAAACAGTCGTAAAGAGTAAAATCATACTATTTACCGACTTTCGTGTCTGTTTGTTTGCCACTATTATGCAACTGAAATTCGTACAATTTTATTGGAATATTTCAATTTTTGTTCACGTATCATTTGTTTTCTAATTCTTTGACAAATATTTTAAAATAAAATTTATGATTAATCATCCGAAATGTAGGCAACGATTCATTGAACCGAAATAGAGAGAATTTTTTGTTTCCTAAAATTTCAGTATTTTTGACCGCACTCTTTGAATATTTTTTTACGCACTGAAAAGTGCGTAAAAAATATTGCGATTTTTTTTTTTTTTTTTTTTTTTTTTTGAGAAATATAAATAGAGAAAATTTATTCAAACCTTTTGTACATTACATCAGTTTTCAAAGATTTTGACCTGCGGCGTTTCACTATCAGCACCTGAATACGAATATAAAGTCTGATTCTATTCTATTCTAATTTGTCAATTACAAATTTTAATTGAAAATTAAATTAAAACATTTAAATTTTGAGGAATTAAAGGAAAAAAATTTTACTCAAAATAATGTTCTGTTACATTTTGTTTACGAATTTCTTTAATTATTGTAAAATTATTCGAAAACATCAATAACTTTTTTTTTTTAAATAAATATTTAATAAATATTTAATTATTTATTTATTTCAAAATTATTTTCATCATTTTCAAATCAATTATTATTTTCTACAATTTTTAATTATTTTTTATGAAAATAATTAAATTTCTTAAAAAAAAATATTATTTATAAAAATAATTGAATTATTCCGAAGGAATTTATAAAAAATTTGTAAATAATGGAAATCATGAGAAATTTTTATTATTTGTGAAAATAATTAAATGTTTGCGTACTATTTTTGGGAATTTGAAATTTATTCGAAAATGATTGAACTTTGGGGAAGAATTTTGTTATTTATAGAGATAATTAGGATTTTGACGAGAATTTTTTTTTTTAATTTGAAAGATAATTAAATTTTGTATTTTGTTATCTTTAGATAGATTGTATATTATATTATTATGTTATAATTATTTTTATTTTATGATTAATTCAAAATTGTAATGACAAATAGAAATCATCAGAATTTTTTTGCACTGCTTTTCATAAAAAGACTAAAATTTTGTCAAATATTATGTTTTGTCAAATTAAAATTATGCAGATTTTTTTCCTTACTTCTAAACAATAATAAAAAATTTATTTTTTTTGCATTATTTTTGTTTATGAATCACAATGTTTTTAACAAAATTATTATTTTGGTTTAGAAAAAGATGAAAAATATTTGCACAATTCCTATTTTTAATCTTATTTTTGAAACAGGATTTTCCACAGAAATTAAGACATTCAAAAATTTCAAATTCAAACTTGATCAAAATTATTTTTATCATTTTAATTCAATTATTATTTTCTAGAATTTTAAATTATTTTTTATGAAAATAATAATGGAATTTTTTAAAAAAATTTTATTATTTATAAAAATAATTGAATTTCTGTGAAATTTTTATTATTTATGAAAATAATTAAATGTTTGCATACAATTTTATTAAATTTGTTTTTTAAATAATTGAATTCTTTTTGGGAAATTTTATTAAAATAGTAGATATTGAAAATCATTAAAATTAGAAAATTTTTTGAAAATAATTGAAATTAGGACAAGAATTTTTTTTAACATTTATGAAAATAATTGAAAACTTTGAAGAAGAATTTTGTTATTTATAAAAATAATTGTGATTTTTACGAGAATTTTTTTTCAAATTTTGAACATAGTTGAATTTTATAAGAAGAATTTCATTTTTTTTTTTTTTTTTTTTTTGAAAATAATTGAATTTTTGCAATTATTTGTAATTTTTCCAAAATTGAATTTTTTTATTGTTTTCAACAAAAATTTAAATTTTAAATTCTATTATTTTTAAAATTGTTAATTTTATTTTCTAGAATTTTTAACTAAAAGGCTTTTCTAAATCAATTATTTTTAATAATTTTTAAAAAAAGTTCTTCGAGAGAATAATTGAATCCTCGTAAAAAATATTATAATTTATGAAAATAATTGAATTTTGAAACGAATTTTATTAAAATTCCTGAAAATAATTAAACATTGTCGAAGAATTTTGTTATTCGTTAATAAAAATAATTGAAATGCTGACGACAAATTTTTTTTGAATATTTTGAAAATAATTGAATTTCTGCGAAAAAGTTTATTAATTTTTAAATAATTGAATTATTATGATGGATATTGTTATTTATGAAAATATTTGAATTTTACATTGAATTTTATTAAAATTTTTTAAATTATTGAATTTAAGAGAAGTATTTTATTATTTATATAGATAATTAAAATTACGCCGAGAATTTAAAAAATTTTTTGAACATAATTGAATTTCTGCTAAGAATTTAATTACTTTTGAAAATAATTAAATTTCTCAAATGAATATGAAAATTAATGAATTTCGTTATTTTTATTTCAATTTAGTAAAACGTTATTTCCTTATCATTTTATTCATTTTAAAATTTTTAGTGGTTTTTGCTGGTCATTTGAAACAGAAATTGATTTTTTTCACGAAAAATCCAGTTATTTTATAAAACCATTTTAATGTAAAAATACTTGTAAAAATTATCTTCGGGGGAAGTATTTTATATGTAGAAAGTGTGTAGCAAGTTTGAAATGAAACGGTAATGAAGTTTTCAAATGTCAGTGAACACGGACTTTTAAAAAGTGGTTTTTAGAAAAAGGTTTTTAATACTTTAACTCTTTAATGCCTGACTCTTTAAAGTAACGAAAATTTCATCAACTACTGTATTTTAGGGTTTTTTGGCTCGTTGATTACGAATGCAATGTCGATTTTGCAAAATTCTCAAAATTCAAAATGGCGGATCCAATATGGCGGATGATTTTTTACAAATTGTTCAGATTTGAATGAAACTCATTACTCGGGGGGTTTTCGGGGTCGCTGATTACGAATTCGATGTCAGTTTTTCAAAATTCAAAATGGCGGATCCAATATGGCGGATCATTTTTTACAAATTGTTCAGATTTGAATGAAAGTTGTTACTCGGGGGTTTTTAGGGTCGCTGATTACGAATCCGATGTCAGTTTTTTAAAATACAAAATGGCGGATCCAATATGGTGGACAATTTTTTTTTAATTCATGAGATTTACATGAAATTCGTTACTCGGGGCTTTTTGGGGTCGCTGATTACGAATCCGATGTCAGTTTTTCAAAATTCAAAATAGCGGACGTTTTTTAGTTGATTGGATTTGTTTAAAACTTGTAACTCTTTTTTTTTGGGTCACTGATTATAAATTCGATGAGAGTTTTTGAAAACAAAAAATCTAGTTACCAGAATTGAACCACGTGGAGGTTAAAGAACCTAAATAGATGAATTTTCCTCTTGATAAAATGGCACACAAGAAAGAATAAATGAATTTATTTTTATTTCAAAGAAATAAGAGATAAATGTATGCAGAAGACATTGAGTGGTTGAAATCTGATTGTGACGTGAATACTCTTCCATAATGGTAAATTTGGTTGTCTCATTACTCGCAGTAATGTCGTCTCATTATTAAGGGAGAAACCTCTCGTCGTCGAGCATTGGGTACCAAAATCCCTTATTCCATTCTCCTCCTTGTCCTGTTTTCGCTTCACCATCATACGGCCCTCTCTGCCTAAGGCTCTCAAACCTTCTCTCTCTCTCGTATATACGATATTAAAACGGATGACAGGGGTTCTAAGAGGTATTAAGGGCTGCTGACCTAGAAGAGGGTTAGACAACAAGGGCTGCTGGATTCTGAAATTCTACTTGTCACTCTGCACTCTCTGAATTTCATCCTATTCGAGAATTCAACGATCATTTACAAATTACCACAAGTGTGATAAACGATGTCCAAATACTTTATTAATTAAGCTTCTCAAAAGATCAAAGGGAATTTTTTTTTTATGAAAATTTTTTTTCGTTCACTGCCACCTTTGGAAGCAAAGTAAAGATTGTTAATAACAACTATAGATTCCAAAGGTTTTTCAAATTTTTTTTCGTTCACTGTCACCTTTAGAATCTTTGGTAGTGAAGTAAAAATTGTTAATAACAACCATAGATTCCAAAGGTGGCAGTCATTTTAATTTAAACAGGGCTCGAACTGGCTTCGTAAATTTTCTTCAAGTCCGTAAAAGTCAGTTATTTTCATAAAAAAAAATCCGTAAAGTCCGTAATTTTATAGAAAAAAAAGAAAAGTTTGTAAATGGTACGATATAATTTGTAGAATTTTAGAGACATTGCAGAAAATCAATTATTTTCAAAAGTAATAAAATTCTTTGTACAAGTTCAATTATGTTGAAAAATTAAAAAAAAAAAAATTCTAGTCAAAATTTCAATTATTTTTAGAAATAATAAAATTGTTCTCCGAAATTCAATTATTTTTAAAAAATTTTAATAATATTCTTGGAAAAATTTCAATTTTTTCATAAAATAATAAAAATTTCACAAGAATCCAATTATTTACAAATTTCTTCTAAATAATTCAATTATTTTCATAAATAATAAAATTTTCACACAGATTCAATTATTTTCGTTAATAAAATAATTCTTTTTTGGAATTCAATTATTTTTATAAATAATAAATTTCATCGCAGAATTTCAATTATTTTCAATACAATTTTAATCAAATTTCTCGAAAAATGTAATTATTTTTAAAAATTTTATTAAAATACATCAATAGAATTCAATTATTTAAAAATTTGATGATAAACTTCTTTGTAAAAATTCAATTTTCAAAAACATTTAATTATTCAATAAATTATTTTTTAATATTTGAAAAAAATTGGATTCTAGTAGAATTTACTAATAAAAATTGATTTACACCTGAATTTCACTAAAAATTTTAAATTATAATCGAATATTAAAAACATTATGCCGTGTATTTTTAGAAATAATTTAATTTTGAAAAGGTTTTATATTAAAATCTTTGAAAATTCTAATGTTTTATACTTTAAGCTATAACAATTCTGTAGAAGAATTAATTTTTTTTTAAAAAGTTTATTTCAATTTGACTTGAAATTATTTTTTTGAAATTTTCGAATAATTGAAATTTTGTAAAATTGAATTTAAAAAAAAAATGAATTTGAAAATTATCAAAGAACTTGTTCAAAAATTATTCAATATAATGGATTTATAGAAGAATTTTAGTTAAAAACTCTAAAAAAAAATTAAATTTTAGAGAAATTACTTATTATTGCTGAAATTCAATTATTTTCAAGAGTAATAAAATTCTTCGCAGAAATTCAATTATGTTTAATAATTTTAAATAATTCCCGTCAAAAGTCCAATTATTTTAGGAAATAATAAAATTCTTCTCCAAAATTCAATTATTTTCAAAAATTTTAATAAAATTCTTAGCAAAATTTCAATTATTTTCAAAAATTGTTCTCAAATCAATGATTTTCAATATCTACTATTTTAATCAAATTTACAAAAAGAATTCAATTATTTACAAATTTCTTATAAATTTCGTCTAAATAATTCAATTATTTTCATAAATAATAACATTTTTACAGGGATTCAATTATTTTCGCAAATAAATTTTTTTTTAGAAATTCAATTATTTTTATAAATAATAAAACTCAATGCAGAATTTCAATTATTTTTAATACAATTTTAATAAAATTTCTCGAAAAATGCAATTATTCTCAAAATTGTTATTAAAATTCGTCAAAAGAATTCAATTATTTAAAATTTTGTTGCCAACATTTTTTTTTGAGAATTAAATTTTAAGAAGCATTCAATTATATTCAATAAATTATTACTTATTTTTGTATTTAAATAATTGAATTCTCGTAGAATTTTTGAATAAAAATTGATTTAAAAGTCAATCTCAATTAAAATTTTAGATAATAATTGAATATTAAAAGCAATAAAGCGTGAATTTTTAGAAATAATTGAATTTTTGAAAGTAACAGTCACAGTTTTCACAGATCGGGTCAAAAGCTATTTTTCAACGCTGACTTTAAATTACCAAACTATCCTTCCCCCAAGCAACGAGTTGTTGTTAATAAATTTGTGAACAGAATATACGATTTACAAGTATAATTATTTGATTTGCTTTATTGTGAAATATGACAATACAGTCAACAATCAAAAAGTTTTCTCGTATATTTAATTATGCAAAGTATGAGAAAATGTTGGAAAAATATATTTTTCACTAAAAACTCTCTTTGTATCTCAAGTTTCATTTATTGCTTTATTAAACTTGAAATAACTATCACAGGAGAGAAAGTTGGAAAACTTGAAATTGAAATGAAAATATAAATTGATTTCCATTTGTACGTAGAATGTCATAAAGAATATTTTTTTACCCAATAAAAGAAACGTAAAACTTTTCCTTCTTTCGAATTGCATTCGTTTTCATAAAAGTAGAAAAATATTAAATAATACAATACTTTGTTAAAAAAAAAAGAGGTAGGTATACAAAATGGAAAGCTTTATAACAAATTTATTAAAACTTAAACATATTATATTTAAATATTCAGAATTATTAAGAATTTATGTTGTATTGTAAAGAAATCCTTTTTCTCTAGACAATTAAAAAAAAATACAAAATGAAGTACTGCAACTGAATTGTCTCGTAAACTTCGAGAAAATTAATTGTAAATACTTAATCAAACAGTTTCATATTGACTATATTCATTAATGACACTGTCTTTTTTTGATTCTTTTTTTGTATTTTCCATGACATAAATGATAAAGAAAACTTTTCAAGAGGATTTTCCAATATCCCATTGTTGGATTTCAAGTCTATCCTATTTGATGGCATTTTCATCTAAAGAACTCAATTCAATGGAAAATACTTCCATGTTCAGAATGTAAACAGAGATGAGATTCTTTTATATATCTAAAGCCCTAGGACAGTAAACGGAATCAGAAATACGAAGTCCTAGGATAAGATCATTGAAAAATTCTGACATGAAACTTCAGAAATAGTATTCAAGTTTTTCAATTTCATTTTCCATCTGACATATATATTTTATTTGTCAAAAAAAAAAAAAAAATGAACTTTAACTTTCTTGTAAGTAGTTTTTTCTCTTCAAGAGACACATATTAAGAATAATGGAGGAGAAGTTGGATGTCTCGTTGATTTGACTCCTGACAGGGCAATATCTCATGCGAGTGGATTTCCTATTGAGCTATGTAATCAACGTAAACGGACTAAAGGTATCGCGCGTGATTTGTCACTTGGATAAACATGACGAATTCGTAAACGATGTTACATGATCGATTAATGTCCAAACGGAAGTTCATTGCGTTTTGACTAGCGATAATGATGTTGTCGAGTAATGTTGACGTTAATACCAAAATAATTAACAGTTTCACAAAGTCAATTCAAATCAGTATAATTGGATAATTATTTATTGAAACTACAAAAGAATTATAGTTTCCCCGAGCTTTTTATTGTTTGCAATATTCCAATTTGTGAAAAAAACAAAAAAATTTTGCAATATTCGACATCGAAAACAAAATTTTGTGTTTAATGAAATGCAAACATTATTTTTTAATATAATGAAGAACATAAAATATTCCATTAGGTTCGATCGTAGACTCTGAATTGACAATTCGTATACACAGTGGGGAAATCGGTTTATACATTATTTTAGATTGATATTGTTGTGTAAAAATAATGGAGCGTAATGAAATCGACATCAATGGGATAATGTAACAAAACGTTGAAATGGTATCTCAATAGTCAAAAAACAAATTTTTATGAGCTTTTCAGAAACACGAATGTGTTCACGAAACTTTTTAGAATTTACTTCCGGATGCAAAAGAAATTTCTATCTTGAAAAACGACGCTGGTCTTGACATTTTTTAAAAATTTAATATAATTATTAAAAAAAAAAATTAATTTAAATATAAAATCCAAACTAAGAAATATTAATTTCTAATTAAACAAAATGTTCTTATTTATTTCTTATATTTATTTTCCTTGTGAAAATTTAAAACACTTTTAATTTGTAACAAAATAAAACTAGTATACATAGAAATATGTATGACAAAATGGTGTAATAAATTTTTCTTTTTTTTCAATGTAAAAAATTTTGTAAAATAAATATTTATTATTTTAATAACGATAATAAATAAACAGTTGAGGATTATAGTTCCGCGTTCTGTCAGCGCGACTGGAGCGAGTGGTGGGGGAAGTGCAGGCTGCGCGGTTTGTGTGCGCTGTCGTCATGTCTCGCTTTACGTACGAGCTATATTAGACTACTATATGGTATAGTGACAAGAGGACACAAGTCAATTAATTTAATATTAACACAGTGGACAAACATATTAAAATACAAAAATTATCCCTTCTTCAGCACACTTAACAAATGACTGACACTTTTATGTGAATATGATGATAATCCAATTAAATATTACAATTATTTGCAGGAGATCGATGAATGCGGAGACAGAATTAATTACAAAGGCCCAAATATTCAACGAATTTTAAAATTATAGAGTTTAGAGAATATTTATTTTGTTTATTTAGCTAAAGAAACATTTCACTTATCACTAAAAAATGGTTACCTAATGCAAATTTCTGTATCGTAATTTATACATACTCTTATAACTAAACGTAAAATATGACATATGTATATTAGAAGACGAATTTTTATTATTGAGATGAATAATAAATGAGCATTATTATTGATTCAAATGAAATTATAGCTGGAGAAATTTGAACCAAAATTTTAATATTAAATGAAATGTGATAAAGTAATACAAACATTTGAGTATATTTCTAGAATAATTAAATTTAAGCAAATTGTATTTACAATAAATTACGCATTTCATAATTTAACACTTGTATATGTAAGACAATATGATTTTAAATAATTGTATTACTTAGTTGCTTTTGCTATAAAACACAGAACATACTCCAGAGAAGTGATAAATTCTTTTGTTTTACAAATTGATTATTCGTTTAAAAGTAAAAATGAGTATCCTAATTTTCTTCATTTTAACGATAATAATTTGTAAGTAGATGTATTAAGATTTTTCTATTATAATTTAATTTAGAATTATGAATTTGAATTAAAATTATAAAAATTATATTAATATAATATATTATTATTTTTGTTTTTATTTATTATTAGTATTATTTTATAAATAAAAATATTTCTGTTCAGCTTTATCAAGTGCTCAATCTAGAGAACAATATAATACAACATCGGAAGGCAACCAACTATCCAGTGAGTTATCTGTTATTAATTATATCTTTATTCTATTAAAATATTTTTATCTAAAAAGTTGAATGAAAAACTTTAAGAACATTAATCAAGAATTTTTCAAACATATTTTCTTTTTATTTTAGTAATTTAATTTACAATTTTGATCTCAATTGGTAGTAGTTCAATATTAGTGATTATTAAATCTCTTCTAATACAGATTTTTTGAACTACAATGAAGTTCCAAATGATGCAGTTTCTGAAATACTAAATTTGAAATTAAGTGACTTTAACAGTACATGTTTAGTAGAAAATGAAATTGTTAAAAAAATGATTGCCTACAAACAAACACTTAATAACATATTGGAAACACTTCATCCTGAAAAAAGAAATCATACACTCAATACAGACAGACAATTAAGTATGACTTTATGGCAGAATATTTTTAACATTACTAGGGACATAGAGATTTGTTTTCCAGTTGGTATCACCTTAAGACCATTTGACAAGTGGAATTTAATGTATAGTGTTTCATCTGAGATTTCTGAAAGAATAAAACATCGTAAGATATTATTATTTATAATCATTTTAGATCTAATGTTTTAAAAAAATTTTACATTTTTTTTTAATTTCATTACAGAAAATGCATTTTTACATGAAGACGCTAGATGCTTAGCGAGAAAATCACCAGAAATATATCAATGTCTTCAAAAAAAAGTAGAAGGCGAAGAAACTTTATTTTTTACACTGTTAGGAATACTGGGACCCCAATTAGGTTTATGTCAGTAAGTAAATTGAATATAATTAATTAAAAAAAATGAAATCCAAACTCAAATATTAATTCCTCATTAAACAATACGTTCTTATTAATTTCTTGTGTTTTTCAAAATTTTCTTTCATTATTTTCAGTGAAAACATTGATGCTAAATTATGTTACTTAAGTATTGTTAGTTCATGTAATAATCCAAATGCAGTTTTATCTTTTAAACATTTGCTAAGCCCTCCAGGATCAAAAGAGCCGTGTGTAAGTCTAGAAGGCTTTGAATATGCAACAAAATAAAATTAGTACACATAAAGAAATATGCTAAATTTGTGTAATTTTTTTTCTATTTACAAACTTTTGGAAAATAAATATTTCTTATTTCAATAACGATAAATAATAAACCTAAATAAATAAATAATAATAAACCTAGTTTTTACAAAATCCTAAGTTGATCTAACCCCTTAATTTGATAACTGTTTAATAGTGCAATGTAAATTCCGGTGTCTTAGTAATTTCGTAAGTAATTAGGTTCAAACTGGATGATATCATTCTGGTAAGGTTGAATCATTTTTGTAAATATATCTATAACTTATAATTTCAGCGCCAGTTGTGAATTCCATTTTGGTTAACAACAAAATTATATGCAGTATTTGCTTCTTTAAATTTATTCAGCAAACTCAAAGAGCGGAAGTATTTCCGTCCCATAACTTGGACGTGGTGACAAAGTGGTTGAAGTGCTTGAAAAGTCACGACTTCCACTTGCAAGTTTTCACGCTGAGCAAGCGCGTAAGGCGTGAACGAGTTCGTAACCATTCATTCACGTACTTCCTCCTAGTTGCAGAGAAAACTTTTTTTTGCAATTTCATTTCCGTATTTCTTGGTTTTTCGTTTTGTACAATTTCCCCCATATGAATTCATGTACAATATTAACTTTAATCAGCCAAAAATTAATTCAAACAACTTTAAATTTAATTAAACATATTAAAATTAAAATTTTGTATTACTATTAATTCTTCAACTAGAAAGAAATTAATTTTTAGTTTATTAGGCGAAGAATTAAAATTTGTAAAGTGAAGTAGTTCTTTCTGAAAATGATATAGACGCTATTAATTTATAAGTAGCTGTTTCAAACATTTATAGATGTCATTATTGGATACTCAGTAATGTAGTTTCCATTCAGTTGGGAATTTGTGTTCATCAGGCCTTATTACAAAGTTCGAGGAGAGTCTATACGGCCTCATCGCTCAGAAGTTCTTGTAGAGTTTCTGCTAACCAAGAAGTTTACGATTATATGTATACATACGTATGCGAAGATACTTTGCTGTATCTGTCATGCAGAGCATATGTATGCGGTATGCATTCCATAACTATGAAACTTTGTTTACGAGCAGGGTCGACTGGCATTGAGTTTATTGTTCAGGGGGTTTTGATACTGACCGGAAGTGTCTGCAGAAGTGTGAAGTATGCTTGTATTGATTTATATTCCACCATTCAAATCAGAAACTTTGAAAAGCTATTCAAATACCTGGCACATATTGCATTGAAAGGTCACCAGTAGATTGGTAATGGGGAACGAGAAGATTCCTTGTATTCAAAATGATACAAATAACATAGTGTGTTCACAAGTCAAAAGTTATAATCATTTTGAAATTGTAAAGTAAATGTTTGTTGATTAATAAAAAATAGTTTTATTAAAAAAAAAATAAGGGATATAAACCTATTACTGTTTAATCAAGATACCCAAATAGTTTAGATCGGAGTTCATTAATAAGACTTTACTCTATACATGGGTGAAGTTATTTGTAACTCTTGCGGAAGCAATTCCGGTTGAAATTCTCTCAGTCTTTCGTACTTGAAAATAATAATTAATTTCATCTAATAATGTGCAAATCCCGCGGCTAATTTATCATGCACACGAGATGTAGATTATTGCGTATATGAGAAACATCGCGGAGGTCGAGATGTGCTGTATTAGCAATTAGAAACCTTCGATATACCCTGCTTTCTCGTTTGCTTTCCTCACCCTCATCAACGATGATAGACATTTAACGTTTCAATGTACACCTACACATTTAACATTTACTCTGTTGTGTAATGAAAATTGTTGCAAGCAAATTCCATTTTCAGAAAATCGTAATATATTTAACGGTGTAAATTCTTCTCATCACAATGGATTACAGGCTATTGTTCAAACAACAAACAGATTTTTTCGTTTTGCAGCAAAAGAGTTAAACATACCATACGATATTTACGATCATTTACGGAAAAGACTTAATATTTTTCGAGAAGCGACGTTTCGATGACTTGGTTTGTCATCATCATCAGGCTAAGCATTAATAATGTGTTGTGGAGAAATGTCATGACTCCTATAGTTTAAATTGTTTCGGTGATGTTCGATAATGGATTGTAGCTTCCTTTATGTTTAATAAATTAAAATTTTCCTTTTAGTAAAAATCTTCTGAAATCATAACATTTCCCTGCTTTATAATTACCACTGGTAAAATAAAATTGCAAAAATAAATATTTCTTTTTCTCCCAATCTTCCTCTTGACGAAAATTTCTATTTACTCATCTAACGAGCTTGAGTCTGCGTTCGTGTAGCTTGTTTGCGCAACAGTGAGTACCTAAATTCCTGCCCCACCAATTTCTACATCAGCCGTAAACTTGCTGAATGATGGTACACATCGGGTTAATTCAGAAACCGCGCTTTAATGAACCGAAACGAAGCCAAAGCACAATAGAAGCACGTAACAGTAATACACGCATCTCGGATTCTGTGTCCTCAGCTGGAAACACGATTTGCAAAATCCCTGATAATGTTCGATGTCCATTACAATTTGTTATCGCGATTATATACACTTGTTAAGTGAATACGTACTTAAATCTACAAACATAGGCTCATAATCAGATAATAAGCCCGATGATTATCCATAAATCTGATTATGTGAGGAAATTTTTATCAAAGTGAATCATTTTTAATAAACTCCATTTCTGATCAAAGATTCTTTTAAGTCTATAGTCTAAATATATCTTTTATCTAATTTTAAAACGAAAAATCGTAAATAAATTGAAGTACATGTTGTTATAAATTGAATAATATTAGAGTAAATTGTGCCACGAGAAAAATGTTACCTTGAATCCATGCGAGCTCCTATCTGAAATCAGCTATTATCATTCTCTGGCACTATGTTGTTGCCATTCGTTTTCCATCAGGAAATGCTATCGATTTTTACGATGATACCCTTGGATTTTCACAAATAAAATTGCATCATTGGAATTTTTACGATTGTATGCTTTACCCAACCTCTAAAAGCTCACGTATCTCATATAAAAATATACACTATGTTATGAACATAATTCCATTATCGACTATCCGTTCATTTCAACAGTTTTCCCTTTTGATATTTTCATTTAAAAACCATTTTTTAATTGTGAATATTAACTACAATTGAAAGGCAAAATCCAGTTAATAACTGTAAATATCGACAAGCATATCTATTGTTACAATTTTTTTTAGATATTTTAACTTTCACAAAATTTGATTTAAATTTTTTCGAAGTAAATTTGTAACACGGTTGCTTTATTTCAATTTTTTTTTTTTTGCTACAAATATTGTATATTAAAAAGATTTGAGATTATAACTACTGACAACTAGGCAGGTGCATCCCTTGAAGTTGAGCTTAGATAATCCTTGGCAAGCTTAAGGCGCGCTTTCGGCTTACGGAGAGTTTGCAACGACTAAGGCTGGTAAGTTACGAGGATTCCATAAGAATTAGACCACACCAGCACGCTGTGGGCTCTTATCTTCTTTCCATAAAGCACAAATAATCCGAGCACAATAATTTTTAAGATAAGACTTTCTTTTTTACTATATCTCATATTCTATGAACTTTCAACTTATAATACTGTATTTCAACAGGCGAAATTCTTCAAAGTACTTACTTTTCTTATTCTTGTTTGTTGACAGTACCATTTTTCCATGCAATTCAATTGAAAATTTCAAAATTAAATGCAAAGAATTTTTGAAAATAATTGTCAACAGTGAATTGTACGGATATTAAAAATATTTATTACAAAATATCATTTTTTTTCTGTTCCAAGAAAGTTTATAATACAGGGTGTCCCAGTCGAGGGTGTACATATTAAAGGGTCATATTCTACTGAAAAAATTAAGACGAAAGGTCCTTTGCACTTTTTAAAAATGTTCAGTAGTGTATGTGCGCCTTTATCCATGGTGTGATGTTAAGTTGACCCACGACAATCAACTGCTTTCTGTTGACATGACCCACGATACAATTTGTCAAGTAGTTTGTTTTAATTTAGCTATTTTCTGCTTTTCTTGAAAGAGTTATTGCTTTAAAGTATGTTTGTAAAAATAATTCTTTCGGAGTTATAATTTTGGTCAGGTGATTAATTATGTCTCTGTATTCGTCGATTTGCAGCAAGTCATTGTAATGTTTAACTGGATTATTACTATCATTAATTAGGCAAAGGCAAATAAGGTTAAGAAAGACATTCTTATGTTAATATTGAATTAATTGACTTGTGTCCTCTTGACACAACCATCGTAGTCTAATACAGCTCGTAGGTAAAGCGAGACTGACTAAAGCGCACGCAATCCGCGCAGCCCGCTCTCCCCCACCACTCGCTCTAGTCGCGTTGGCACAGAGTTATACATGCCAAATAAATACAGGTATCCCTTTTTTACTAAGTGTTAGTTAATTAATTATCTTGATGGGAGCATTGAATATTATCATTTTTTTACTAGTAAAAATAATAAAAATTCTCGAACTCTCAAAAAACATAAACAACACTCAAAGTTTCTGCGGAATGCTATTTATGAAATAGACGTACGTACTAAATTCGAAACTCAATAAAAATAAAAAGGGAACAAAAGAATATGGATTCGGTTATCTGAAATTAATGGTTTAACTTTTCTGTTATTTGCAGAAACATGAGGATATAAATTGGTAATAAAAACTCCTGCCCCTGTGTCCATGAACTTTGTTTACACGTTTGTGACAAATGGCTTAAATGGTTCGTAAGTTTGTAAATATTCATGGGTGACATTGTTTTATACAACTTCTATTTATCGTTATTGAATTATACTAGAACCAAATCGGCGCGCGCCCACTCCTGATCGTTTAAGACAAAAGAAAACCTTAATTTAAGAACACAACAATAATGCAAGACTATTTCACTAATTGTGTTCATAATATGTAAATTACAAAGTAAAAACACTACAGATTTAAAATCATTAAAATATTAAAACATGTAAAGTATTTCAGAAATTATATTAATTTTAATATTTTAATTAAACAAGGCAAACTCAAGAATTTTTTAACTGACTCTAGAAAGTTACTTAAATTTCTTTATTATAAGTTTAATTGCTAAAAAAATAGATTATGTTTTAGTGACTTAGACGGGAAAGATGTTTATTTATT